GGCGGTGCGGTTGGCGCAGGATAGAGCAGGGTTTAGGGCTGTTGTGCATAGGGTCGCTATGAGTCGGAAACGACTCGACGGCACATAACAACAACAATGACAGTGAGCGGGATTCAGTGGAGCCAATAGACCCACAATGGTCCAGTCTACAACCAATTGTGGGGATGGTGAAGGACATGGCAGGGTTTCCTTCCGTGCGCATGGAGCTGCCAGGAATTAGGACCAGCTGGACCAGAGCTGAAACACATCATGCTGGCAAACAAAGGAAGAAGTGCCACCAGTGAGCTCCTGAGAAGCGAGAGGGTGAGACTTCATCACTTGTACTTTGTGGGCATGTTATTAGGATGGACCAGTACTGGAGACGGTTGTCATGCTTGGAAGCGTGGTGGTTGCTGTTGTTAAGGTGTCCTCAAGTGGAGTACACCTTGGCATACTAGCAACCCTATGAACAGAAGATCTGAACTCTGTCCTATCCTGTGCCATCCTTATTATCACCGACACACTTGTGCCCATTACTACAGAAACTGTATCAATTCATCTTATTGAGGGTCTTCTTCTCTTCTGCTGACCTTCCACCTTTTCCAAGCATGATGTCCTTCTCCAAGGAACAACCTCTCCTTAGCAACATATCCAAAGTACGTGAGACAAACCCTTATTACCTTTACCTCCAAGGAGAACTCTGGTTGCACTTTCTTCAAGACATACCTGTTTGAAGAGTCGGTGAGTTTGAAGCAGACTCTCAATGAGACAGATTGTTGCAGTGACCACACAAGAGACTTAAACACAGCAGATGTTGGGAGGATGAGTCAGGATCAAGGAATTCACTGTTGTACATTGGGTTGCTGGGAGTCAGAGCCAATTCGATAACACCTGTTGTTGTTTGTTGTTATGTGCCATCGAGTCACTTGCAACTCATAGCGATCTTATGTACAACATCCCTAAGCTCTGCTTTGTCCTGTGCCAATCGTACTGTCTAGGACACCCCTATCCCGATTACCCCAGTCATTGAACCAATCCACCTCATAGAGGGCCTTCCACTCCTGTGCCTGCCCTCCACCCACCCAAGCATGATGTCCCTCTCCAAGGACCGGTCCCTCCTTATAATATGTCCAAAGTATGTTAGACGGAGCTTCAGAATCCTTGCCTCCAAGGAGTGGCCTGGTTTGACCCTTTCCAGGACAAATCTGTTTGTTTTCCTAGCAGTCCCTGGTATTCTCAATACTCTTCTCCAGCACCACAGCTCAAAGGCATCAGTTCTCCTTCTATCCTCCTAGTCCTAGCAACAACAAAACCAGGGGATGTCACCATCTCACCTCCCAGAGAGGGAATGGTGTAGCTTCAGTGGGCATAGGGTGGGGCCTGAGGAGAGGCAGGCTCAGTGGAAAGGCCCTACTGGACCTAATTTTCCCCTTCTTAGACTCTAGGCAATCCCCCATTGAAGCCTTCTGTACTGAAAGGTCTTCAAGGCTCTTGTCAAAATGGACAATCATGAGCAGAGAGCTGCTTGGCACCAGCAGTCAAGAAATCAAGAGACAAGTTGCATTGGGTAAAATGTCGTCAAGGACCTCTCCGGAGTGCTAAAGAGCAACAACAACATCAGTCTGTAGACTAAGGTGCACCTGATCCACACCATGGTCTTCTCAATGACTAAGGATGACAGAAGGATCAAAGCCTTTGAGTTATGATGCTGGCAAAAATACTGAACATACTATGGACTGCCAAAGGAACAAACATGTCCCTTTTGTGGGTGAAAAGCAGGCTGCTCCTTGGAGGCAAGGATTTTGAAGCTCCATCTCACATACTTTGAGCATGTTGCCAGGAGGGGCCAGTCTTTGGAGAAGGACATCATGCTTGGAAAGGTGGAGGGACAGCGCAGGAGAGGAAGACCCTGGATGAGATGGATTGAATTAGGGTCGTAGGGCTAGGTGTGTCAGAGATTGTAGGCTTGGTTTAGGATAGGGCAGTGTTCAGAGCCATTGCTCCTAGGGTCACTAGGAGACCTTGACAGCACATAACAACAACTCTCAGATCCCACTCAGGTCATGGTGTCAGAGGAGCTGGAGGGATGCTCTGAGGAGAGCTGGGTAGAAGGATGAGCAGAATCAGCTAGGGCTTCAAACCAGAAGCTCTTCAAACCGAGCTTCTTTGGGGAAGGGGGAAGTGGCACCAAAAGAGGGACATTCTGGCAAAGGCCAGTTTTGAAGGAGACCAGACTGTCCTTTTACAATACTCCCTCCATCAGAAAGAAAACTGAACACAGCAATCTGATTGTACCTATACCTTTTATTAAAGAAGCCCTGACGGCGTAATGGTTAAACACTCGGCTGCTAGCCAACAGGTCAGCCGTTTGATCCCACCAGCCGCTGTGTGGGAGAGAGAGGTGGTAGTCTGTTTCTGTACAGATTTACAGCCTTGGAAATTCTCTGAGTGGTTCTCCTCTGTCCTAGGGGGTCACTGTGGCTGGGCAGTAGTGGATTTAGGGGGTACTTATTGCTGCTAACCTGCATCCCTCCACCGCTCACCTCGTATTTACACTCAATCCATTCCCCAGGGTTAGCTTTGACCAAAGGTCCTGGGAGAAGGCCAAGAAGAGTGCCCTCTAAGGCAGCTGTCCTAGATTGAGTCTAGGACAAGTCCAGCTTGTCCATGGACTAGTTGGACTCCAGGTAAGAGATTTTTTAAAAAACACTTAGCATTGGGGTCCAAGCGCCCCTCAACATGTAATCAATCCCTCCTCCTCTTCTGGAGCTCGGAGTACACCAAAACTTTTAGCAAAGTAAAATGGGGGGCAGTAGATGTGCCAGTGTCAAGTTCAAGGGGCCAGTTCTAGGCTGGGATGAATAGTTCTGTCCTTGGAAGGCAAGTCTGAGCATCTGCCATTGGCTTGGGGAGAAGTCTCCCTAGAGGGACCATGTAGGGAACAGGAGGTTTGACACTGCCTGAGTGAGGTTTCATGCCGAAGGAGGCCTGGAATGGGTGAGTGGAAGGGGCCAGTTCATTTGGGAGCTGGAGGCCCCTCCGACCCCTCCATAAACCCTACATCAGTGTCCTGGATCACAGCTCACTGGAGAGCAGACATTTAAGATCACAGAATGGCAGAGTTGGCAAGGCCCTAGGAGACTGTTTTAACTGACTCCACGTTCAGGGGCTTCGGCCTGGCTCACATAGCATTTTAGCGGTTAGATTACTGAGAGAGTCTGGGAAAAGGAGTGTGGAACTCTCCCTCGCTTCCTTCACACTCAATGTAGGGAAATCTGATAACTCGAGTCTTTTTCATTGGCCAGCTTCCTTTGGGTTTTGAGGCGACCCGAAGCACTGATTTGGCCCACTTTTCAGAATTCATGTGACAGGAGCGAGGAGTATGTTTTGGGCCTTCATGGAAAGAGGAATGGGGGTGGCATCCTTGGGCACCCTATTTACACGGGCCATGGCTGGGGCTGGGGAGTGGGTGGTACCAGGAGGGACCGGGCAGCTGGTGGAGAGAGGGCTCTAGTGGTGTCACATGTCCCCAGGTGGCCCATCACCCCCATAACGGGGCCTCGAAGCCTGGACGCCCTTTGGGAAGCAGGGCCAGGCTTGGAGTCTGCAGGAAGCGAGGCCTGTCCCTGAGGCCTTGGCTTGCACTGCCACTACCATCTCACAATGCTTCAGCCAAGGAGAGGCCATGCAGCTGCTCCTCGGTGACAGCCAGCTCCGTTTCATCGCGACCGCTCTCCGAGCCCTCATAGCAGCCCGAGTCTCTCGGGATGTCCACCTTGGGCTCTGACACGGTGTGTGCCACCGGCTCCTGGCTGCTCTCTGCGCCCTCTTCAGCCTCCTCGCTGCCCGCTGCAGAGGATGAAGAGGAGGAGACAGAAGATAGGGGGACTTGGCTTGGTCTTCACCTGTGGAGCTTAGAAGTCCCAGGGAGTCCTTGCATGTGGCGCAGGGAGGTTGGGAAGCCCACTGTGGCGCAGTCCCCCTCCTCCTGGGTACCCACCACCACCCCTGTCCTCCCCACATCTACTTGAAAGCAAATTAGAATGTTTCAGTGCTAAATCAGGAGCCTGGAATCCTGGGCTGGTTATTGTGGTTCTGTTACTACCATACTTTTTTTTTTTTTAATATAATGTGCCTGTGTAATTACCACACACACATGAGGGGGTTGTGCAGGCTGCAAAAGCTGGACAATACACACATTATTTGCATAAAATACACTAATTAGCTTCCCTGCTTTGAGTTTTTCCCTACTCTGGCCTGTACACCCTGATAATCCCTTGAGCTCCCTGGCCCACAACCCACCCCGGGGCTCGAACCGAAGTGGAACAGGAGCACACTGCCAGTGCAGTGCGGGGAGCCAGGAACAGCCTGGGGCCTGGGCACTGCTGCTTGGCACCACACTCACTGTCATAATCCAGCAGCAGCTCGGCCGCAGTGAGCAGCTTGGCTCGGTGCTGTGGGTCCATGATGTTCAGCTCATTGAGGTGTGTTTCCCGCAGCTCTTTGAAATCCTCCAATGTCTGGTAGCCATTGAGCAGCAGGGTGGACGTGTGTTCCTGTGGGCAGATAACAGGCTGTGGGCATGGCCACTTACACCCCTTCCCTGCGTGGGGCCCTGCACCACTGGCCACAAGCTCCCAGCCAGGAAGGCCCTCCCACACCCGCACCTCCAGGCCGATGCGCTCCAGCAGCTCGTGCAGGGTCTTGGGCTTGGGCCTCTTGCCCTTGCTCTGCCTGCGGCTCGGGCGGGCGGGCCCCACGGCCTCCTCAGGCAGCACATCCACGTAGATGAACTTGAAGGAGCCCAGCCGGCCGTTAAGCAGGCCCAGCCATGTGCCCACAGGAGGCTTTTCGATGATCTGGATCACATCTCCTTTCTGTGCCGGGAGAGAGAGCAGGAGCTGAGCTGAGAGAGGACAGGTGATCTCCTGGCCTCTGTGGACACTGTCCCCCCACCCTGCTCTGCCCACCTCCTTTCTGGGCCCATCCCACCAGGCTCAGGAGGGGCCCAGCGGCCCACCTTACCTGCAGTTTCAGTGAGTCGTGGTCGTAGGGGCTGGGGGTGAAGTCTGTGTGCACGCGTGCCCGGCCACAGAACGGCCCTGTGTACTGGGGGGCAGGTGGGTCCTCCCCGAAGCTGCTGGAGCCCGAGATGGGACTGCAGAGCTCACTGCCTACAGGAGATGGGGTGGGGAAGAGGGGTGCCTTTGGTTCAATGTCCAGCAGCAACCTTCCAGGGTGGTCTGGTTGGAAATCCCAAGGACACACACTGGTGAAAAGAGCTGAGCTCTGCCTGGTTAAGTGTCCCATCGCAGAAGGGGTTCAAATTCTCCTCTCACCCACCTTCACCTGATTCCCTCGAGCACACTTCACCTTTAGGTCCTCTGACATCAGGATGAACAGCTCTCAAGCCAAAGGATAAGCAAATTGGGGGGGGGGGTCTCTGGAGACCAGCTAGGCCAACACCCCAATGCGCAGATGAGGAAAACTGAGGCCAGACTGGCAAAATGGCCTGCCCAAGACCTCTTGCCTTAGAATTGTCAACACTGAGACTTTCTGGGAAGCCTGGTGGAGAAGTAGTTAAAGAGTGTGGCTGCTAACCAAAAGATTGCTGGTTCAAACCCCTCCATGGGATGAGTTTCTCCACGGGAGGAAACTGAGGCAGTCTGCTGCTATAAAGATTTGTAACCGTGGGACCCTGAGGAGACTGTTCTGCTCTGCCCCACAGGGTGGAGAGGAGTCAGAATCAACTTGATGGCAAGTGACCATTAGACTCCAGGCTCAAGACTTCCGCTTCAGTGCTCCTTCCACCCACTGCACTAGTATTTTTCTCTTCTCTGCTTGAAAGGTGAGCTCTGGTGGCTTAGTGGTAAGGAGTTACGCTGTTAACCCAAAGTGTACATGGTTTGAATCCACTAGCTGCTCCATGGGAGAAAGATGGACTATCAATTCCCATGCAATTTATTGCCTCTCAAAACTCGCTGGAGGGTCGGTCAGCTATGGGTGTGCTCTGACTCAATGGTAAAAAATTGCCTGAAAGAAGTCTATGTTCAGGCACAACATCACATGGAGCTCAGATAGGCCCTTCTCCCTGGGAAGGGCCGGATGAGGGACATTTAAAAGATATTTCAGTGGGGCAAGGAGGAGCCTGTGTAACCAGAGAAAGAGCAAGAACTGGAAATGTGGCCATACATAGACCAGACCCCAAGGAGTGAGAAAGGCAGTGTCCCTCAAGGACTATAGCCCAGGCGATGGGGCATCTCCTCCAGGCAAGGTTGTTGGAATTTCACATCCACCACCAATGACGTCTAGAATGTGTCAAGTGAACTCAGTAAACCAAGGTCGAGATTCAAGAGGGTGAGTCTTCGGAGTTGGAGACCCTACCCTCAATCAGCCTGGGGCATCAGTAGCTTGTAGCCTGTAGCTCCCTTGGAAGGAATCAAGTGTGATGAGCTGGTCCAAGAGGGCAATGGGGCTCTTCCTCAGCCCTCGGCCTCTCCAGGGCCTGAGGACAGCAAATGGAGTTTCCTCTAGGGCAGACCTGAGTTCATGTCTCAGCTCTGCCACCTGGCTAACCTTGAGCAAGCCACTTGACCTCCCTGAGCCTCAGTTTACACATCAACACAATGAGGATAGTGATAGTACCAGCTGCAAGGGGTCGTTATCAAGACTGAACAGGAAGAGGATTGGTGACGTTCACAGGGGGCAAAGAACGAAGGCTCATCGTTCTCTTACCCCTCTCCCAGAGAGCCAGCTGTGAAGCCCCAACCTAGTTCTCTTCTCTACACCAACAGGTAAGGCCCCCGACCTCCTGCTCACCTGTGGATGCCTGGCGGCTCAGCGTTGGGGTGTCTCGCTCCTCCTGCTCAGTAAAGGATAGCCCCATCTTCTCCGGCCCTGGGCTGTCCAGGCTGTAGTCTGGAGACGTTGGGGAGGCAGAGCCCTCCTCTAGAGGGTCTCCCTGCAGTGAGGGAGGAGGCAGGAAGTCTTGAGCAACCTGGGGCAGCCCCGGTGCAGAGGAAATGTGCTGCCTGCCAGGCTGGTGAAATTGTGGTGCCAATGCAAAGGTGCATGGTTCAAATTCACCAGCTGCTCTGGGGGAGGGAAATGGGCCGTCTCCTTCCATGTGATACACTTACTGCCTCTGAAAACTCACTGGAGGGTCAGCTATGTTTCAGTTCCGACTCGATGGGACACAAAACAACAACCACTCTGTGCCCTAGTTTCCTCTTTTGGAAAATGGTCCAACAATCTTGCTTTGCTGTGCCTACCTATTGGGATGAGGGAGCTCTGATGGCCTAGTGGTAAGAAGCTGAGCTGCAATCCCAAAGGCACGTGGTTTGAATCTACCACCAGCTCTGTGGAAGAAAAATGAGCTGTCTCCCACTGTGTGATTTACTGCCGCTGAAAACCTGCTGGAGGGTCAGCTGTGAGTCAGTTCCACCCCTGCGGTGCACAACAATAGCAACAACAATAGCCTATTGGCATGAGGCTCAGCCAGGGTGCTGTGTGAACTCAAACCAGGATGCCTTATCCACTTCAAGTGCTGATGTCCACATAGAAAAATCCATGACGACACACCCTGTACCCAGGCCTGGGGCTTGCGCACAGACAGACAGTACTGCTGCAGAGGAAGCATTGAGCACCGTACTCCCCACAGTGTGCATGCCTGTCACTCCATCTCAGGCTCTTGGTGACCCTTCAAAGCAGGAGCTGTGAATGTCTTGAATTCCCAGAGGAGGAATCTATGCTCAAGGCCTGTCTGCAGTGAAATGAAAGTTCCAGAGCCCACGACCAAGTCGACCTGACTCACGTCCCTGGCCCCTAGCAGCACCTGGGTGGAGTGAGGGGCCAGGAACACTCAATAACTCGATTGCTACAAAGCCCTGGTTTGTAGCATTTGCCAATTTCTGGCTGTCAAGACTTCACATGGGGCTTGCATTGTGACGTCACTGAAGGAGGAGGGGGAGGAGCCGCACAGCTACACACCATGATAGTGTGTACCATGCAGATGGGACAGATACAAACACCCTTAAGAGTGTCAGAATTAGGAAATCTGGGTTTATTGCCTGAGTTTTTAATAAACTGAGTTTAACTGTTGTTGCTGTGTGCTGTCGACTCATAGCAACCCTATGTACAATAGCCCTAAACTCCGCTCTGTCCTGTGCCAATAGCACTGCCTCTGACACACCTACCCCCATTACCCCAGTCACTGAATCAATCCATCTCATCGAGGGTCTTCCTCTCCTGTGCAGTCCCTCCATTCTCCCAAGCATGACGTCCCTCTCCAAGGACTGGCCCCTCCTTGAAACATGTCCAAGGTATGTCAGACGGAGCTTCAGAATCCTTGCCTCCAAGGAGCAGCCTGGCTTTCACCCTCTCCAGGACGAACTTGTTTATTCTCCTAGCAGTCCATGGTATATTCAATACTTCTCTCCAACACCACAGTTCAAAGACATCAACTCTCCTATCATCCCTAGTCATTGTCCAGTTCTCAGATGTATAGTAAGTGATTGCAAAGACCATGGCCTGTATCAGGCACACTTTAGTTTCCAGACTGACATCGTTTCTCTTCAGTACTTTGGAGAGGTCTCTGACAGCAGACTTTACCAATGCAATTAATCTTTTAACTGTAGGCATATATATTACTTACTTTTTAAATGATGGCTTTGTTTTTAAGAAAAAAAGAAATTCTGAAGATTTGACCAGTGGCTTTTGAGAGCTGGTGTGAGCCCTTGCAAGACAGCCCCAGCACATCCTGCCCTCCCTACTTTCAGAATGTACAAAACTAGCTGTGCTGTTAAGCTTCTTAGGACTGGCAAGTCCTTCAGCTATGCCTGCACCACCTTTCTCCCTGGACAGAAGCCAGGCCTAGTGTCTTTCTCACACAGGGATTCCCTTCAAGTCTCTCAAGAACTGTTGTTGTTAGGTGTCTTAGGGTCGAGTGTGACTCATAGTGACCCTATGAAAAACAGATGTGATTCCTGTCCTATCCTGTGCCATCCTCATCATCTCTGACACACTTGAGCCCATTGCTGGAGTCACTGTGTCAATCCATCTCATTGAGGGTCTTCCTCTCCTTCACCATCCCTCTACCTTCCCAAGCACAATGCCCCTTTCCAAGGAATAGCCTCTCCTAGCAACATGCCCAAAATATGTGAGATGAAGATTCAGCACCTTTGATCCCATGGAGCACTCTGGCTACACCTTCCTTAAGACATATCTGTTTGTTCTTTTGTCAATCTACGTGTTATTCAATACTCTTCTCCAACATCACAGTTCATCGGCCTCAATTCTTCTTCTGTCATCCAAGCCAAACTTTCCTTTAGGACAGACTGGTCTCAAGCCTTTTTTGTGTTATGTGCCATGGAGTCAGGATGGGCTCAGCTGATCCTCCAGCGGGTTTTCAGAGGCAGTAAATCACACTGGAAGGGACTGCTCATCCCACAAGGTTCCATTCCCCGGATGTTCAGTCCTCCTCAAACCAGAGTCTTGCTCCTATGTCCAGGGAAGAGCACTAGCTCCCCTCTTGGATGACCTCCCTTCTGGATTCTCAGGTGTCGGGCCCCAAGCAGTAGCTATTAATATGGCCCTGCTCCCATCTCACCCCTGTTCCCATCCCAGGCCTCACCATCTCCTCTGACAGGGCCTTCACCATCATCTTGCCCATCTTCCTGTTCATGGTTCGCGAAATCACTGCCCTCCATTTTTTCCCCAGTTTTTTGCTGCTCTTCCCAGTATCCTCTGGAGTCATCTTCTCACTCGGGTCATCTTCTGGAATCTGCAGAAATGGAGGAAGAGGCCTAGGGCTTGGAGGCAGAGGAGGGGCCTTCTGGGCACAGCAGAGGCTAGACTAGATGGGAATCAAGGTCCCCTGCCTCTTGGGCCATAAGGTTAGCCAAGTCTGCAAGGTTAAGTGTTCCGCTCCTAGTCTACAGGCTGGTGGGTTAAACCCACATGATGGCTCTATGAGAGAAAGGCTTGGCTTTTCTTAGCTAAGAAAAGCCTATCAAAAAGTTCTAGTCTGTCACACAGGATCACTAGAAATGGAAATCTCGACAGCACACAACACAACAACAAGAAGCTCTGTTGTCAGCCTCTGGCCCTGCCCTTGGTGGTAAAGAAAAGATCTTGTAATGCAAAAAGTAGGCTTGTTCTTGGGGCCCAGGATCTTGGAAGATGGGAGTTGGTGGGCTTCTGTGCTGAGGGAGACCTTGCCCCAACAACCCCACAATCTTCTCCTCCCCCCTCCTCCCTCTCCCACATCTCCCTCCCAGATCCTGCAGGCGGGTCCCCCAGGAGGCTCACAAACTCACATTGTCATCCAGATTAAACTCCTTCTCGCTCACCACTGGGGAACTAGGTTTGGATTTGGCAAAATCCTTAAAGCTGCTGGAGCGCTGAAGTGAGAGCTGGAGGAAGCAGAGGTGTTGAGTGAGTGGTGTTGAAATGGCTTCTCCTCACCTCCAACACACAACAAACACCTCCCACACCCCCCTACACACACTTCAGTGCTGGGCAGAGCTGCATATATGCCGTGGACACAGAGCTAAAGAGGTGAAGTACCAAGATGTCCTCATAACTACCAGGATTCATGTCCTGGCTGCAGACCAAGAACTTGCCAAGACCGCAGAGAAACCTGAATTTTCACCAGTGGCTGAATTTTGGTGTTTACCTCTAAAGGCTAAATGAGAATGGATATATTTCTACCATTACCTCAGTGCATAAAACTTTATAAAAGTACCTTTAGTACTTGTTCTTTTTTGACAGAGATATTTTATTCAGCATAATGTCCTCCAGGCATCCTTATGTTGTGTAATGTTTTAAGAGCTCCTCATTTTTCAGTGCTGCATAGTATTCCATTGTGTGAATGTACCATGGTTTTTCTATCCATTCATTTGTTAATGGACACTTGGTTGCTTCCATCTCTTTGCTACTGTGAATAACACAGCAATAAACATGGGTGTCCATACATCTGTTTGGGTGGTGGCTCTGGTTTCTTTGGGGTATAGTACCAGTAGTGGAATTGCTGAGTCAGATGATATTTCTAGTTCCAACTTTTTCAGAAGATACCAGATCACCATAATACCACTGTTATAAAACAAGACTGACATGGGGAGTTGAGGATAAACTAGGAAAAAGGGATAGATAATGAACTCTGCATTGGAACAGATGATGGAAAGTGCTGTTTAAAAGGAGTTGTTTATTATTATTATTATTATTATTATTATACATTGCATGTATTATAACAGTTATAAGAAATACATTGCAAAGTAGATTGGGGCAAAGGAAAGAAGGGAGAGAGGGAGGAAATTGTGCAACAATGAACTTTTTTTTTTAAATGAACTGAAGGAGGGGGAAGGAAGGTGGAGGCAGCAAAATATGCAGCAATAAATGAATAAATGAAAACCCAACTTTTCAGTAAACTTGCATTAAAATCACAATAAAAATTAAAAAAGGGGAAAAAAGACTATCACCTTTACATACTAGTCACAATCTGTCATACAGTTAATTCTGACTCATGGTGACTCCACATGTCAGAATAAAACTGTGTTCCATAAAGTTTTCATAAGAAGATTGCCAGGCCTTTCTTCCAGGGCACCGCTAGGTGAACTCCAATATCCAGGTTAGTACTGCCAAGGTACTCCTCCTATCTTTACATGACTGAGAGCCAATCCCCAATCCCTTTCACATCCTGTAGCTCTGATGTGCTCTGAGCATGGTCTCCTCCAACCACAATGATAGGGTTAAGCAGCCTGGGGCTTTCAGCCTGATAAATCTGTGTCCCAAGAAGAGCAAGGCAATCCCACTTTCTAACCATTCACCAGAAAATCAGATCCACAGTTGTTAAGTCAATTATCTCTCATAGCAACTTTCTGTTGGGTTTCTGAGGATGTAAATCTTATCAGGAGGAAACTGCCTCATCTTTCTGAACTATTGGGTTAACAGCACCACATATAATACACCATGTCTCTTGGGCTCCTGGTAAGTCACATTGATACTGTTGTTATGTGCCATCAAATGGGAACTGACTCACAGCTGACCTGCCAGTGGGTTTTCAGTGGCTGCAAACCACATGAGAGAGGACTGCCCATCTTTCTCCTGCAGAGCAGCTGGTGGATTCCAACTGTGTGCTGATGGATTGGCAGTGCCACTTGTCGCCACTAGGCCACCAGAGCTCCCTTTAGTAAGCCACAGTAGAGGCTTGTTTCCAGCAGGTGCCCAAAGACTTGAAACATAATATGTAATGTGTTGGACTGCTAACCGAAAGGTCTGTAGTTTGAACCCACCAGCCACTCTGCCGCAGAAAGACAAAGCAGGCAAGAATTATAGCCTCAAAAACCTAGTGGAGGATGAAGCACATTATGAAAAGAGCCTTAATGGTATGTATAGTCTGTAGCAAGTTGTACTGCTAATCCAAAGGCCACAAATTCACCACTGTCTCCATGAGAGAAAGATGGACAGTTTCCTCTTGTTATAATTTACAATCTTGGGAATCTAATGGAGGGTCGGCATGACTTGCAACCAACTTGACAGCAGTGCATTGAGTTCAGACACATTATGAACAAGTCTTCAGGCACCTTCTGTAAATAAGCACCTACTCTACCTCTAAGTCATACTCAATGACACCTAACAACAACATAACAGCATAGTTTACTAGGGAGCTCTAGTGTTGTAGTCAGTAGGGAGTTGAGTTGCTAACCCAAAGGCAGTTCGAATTGTGGTGGTTCAAATCCACCAGTGGCTTCATGTGAGAAAGATGATCAATCTCCTCCGGAGTGATTACAGCTTTTGAAAACCTGCTGGAGGGTCAGCTATGAGTTGGTTCTAATGAGAAGCCAATGAGTGACTGGCAGCTTACTAAGGAGCCCTGGTGGCATTATGTGCTGTAATGGCTGAAAGATCAGAAGTTCAAATCTAACAGCCGCTGTGGGGAAAGATGGACAGTCTTCTCCAATTAAAATTTATAGCCTCAGAAACCTCATGGAGGGTCACCATATGTTGAGAATGACTCTATAGCAGTGGGTTTGACTTTCTGGTTTGGAATTTAGTCGAAGAAAACCACCAACTTCTTTTAATTCATCTCGGTTTTTAACCCAAGCCACTAGTGTGACGAGTGACTACTGCTGGCGTTTTCCTCTGTTTATAACACTGTCTGCAGGAAATGAGCTTTCTTAACTGTGTATTCACGTGTATGACAAGACACCAGCTCAAATCCGGGGTGAGGCATGTAAGCACGACAGGGCCTAGACACAAGAAGCTGAAGCTGAGTTCTGTATCAGGATAAACAGTCAAGACTAGAAGATACTCACAGGAACCAGGGTTCACAGATGGCCAGACAGATAGAGCAGGACAGACTGCAGACACTGGAGATAAGGGTTTGAGGAACTGAAGCCCCAAACCCACACAAAGCTGAACTTTCACATCCTCTTTCCTACTAAAGGGGGTGTATGTGTGTCCAGTGACAAGCTCCCATGACAGGGACATTGTCACCTGGACTCTGCTCCCAACACACAAACAATTGGCTCCAACTCATGGGTCTGCAACATAGCTGTTGAGTGCTCTTGGTGGCCTTTATCTGAAGCCAAGTCAGCAATCAGGTCTCAGGAGCCATACGTTCCTAGAGGACTCAGCCACGTTGTTGTTGTTGTTATGTGCCGTCGAGTCGCTTGCGACTCATAGCGACCCTATGTACAACAGCCCTAAACTCTGTTCTGTCCTGTGCCAATTGCACTGTCTCTGACACTCCCATGCCGATTGCCCCAGTCACTGAATCAATCCACCTCATAGAGGGCTTTCCTCTCCTGCGCTGTCACTCCACCCACCCAAGCATGATGTCCTTCTCCAAGGACCGGTCCCTCCTTACAACATGTCCAAAGTATGTTAGATGGAGCCTCAGAATCCTTGCCTCCAAGGAGCCACCCAGTTTGACCCTTTCCAGGATGAATCTGTTTGTTTTCCTAGCAGTCCATGGTACCCTCAATACTCTTCTCCAGCACCACAGCTCAAAGGCATCAATTCTCCTTGGTCATTGTCCAACCAGAAATGAGGCAAGTGGTGAGCCAAGCAACCACTACTGTCCTGCAGGTGCCATGGGCAGGGCACCACAACATCACTAAGAAAACCTTGTATGTTCAACTTGGTGGAGCTGGGCAAGGGATCTGGCAATGGAGTGAGAAAAGGGGAAAGCCTGGCTGTGGGGTGACTCCTCTGGTTCCCACAAATCTCCCTCATCCTCCCTGCTTGGTTTTCTCCTCCCACTAGTGTTTCTTCTTCCCCCCCCCCTTTCTTTCCCCTTCTCTCCTCCACCTTCTGCTTATTTCCTCCCCTTGTTAAACTAGGATGCAGCTGCCCAGATAACTTCCTCCTCTTATAACACGGAAAAGAGGGAACAGAGAGAGGGTGGGCACCAGGCTGGCCTGGGTCCAAAGAGGGCAGGCTGGACTGCTATTTATAGACTGATGGGCCTATTGTGACCTTGCCTCCATCAGCCCACAGTCTGCTCTGCAGACCAAGAGGCTGGGAGTCACCCCTGAAGCCCCAGGGATGAGTGAGCCCGGAAAGCAAGCCAGAGGGCAGGCTTGGGGCCGGAAGTAGGCTTTGTTAGGGGAAAGAGTAAACTCACACCCACCGGCTGCCCTCTAATAGCAGCTCTTTCCCTTGGACTTTTCCTGTCATTAATCTGCTGTCTGGGGCCTGGGAGGACTGGACTTTGGCTCCCAGGATCTCGTTTGCTATCAGGGTTCCCACAAAGCAGGAGGGGTAGTCCATAAAGATAGTCCTGGAGCTTGGGAAAGGGCTACACAGGTTGTTTGGGTGACAGAGGGTAGGGCATAAGGGTGGTCCTTTGATAGCCTGCCTACAAACTCAGGTTGTTGGGTGCTATTGAGGTGACTATGACTCACAGCAATCCCATGAACAACACATTGAAACCTCGCCTAGTCCTGTACCATCTTCACCATCTCTACCATGCTCAAGACCGTTGTTGCAGTCGCTGTGCTAATCTATCTCAAGGAGGATCTTCCTCTCATTTACTCTCTATTTTCTCCCAAATGATGTCTTTTCCCAAGGATTGGCCCCTCCTGACAACATACCCAAAGTGAGACAAAACTTAACCACCTTTGCCTCCAAGGAGCACTCGAGTTGCACGTCCTCCAAGATGTGTTTGTTCTTTTGGCAGCGCATAGGATAGTCAACACTCTTCTCCAACACCACAGTTCAAAGGCATCTAGTTTTCCTTCTGTTGTCCTGATTCATTGCACAGTTCTCAGATGCACAGGAAGTAATTGAAAACACCATGGTTTAGATTAGGTGTGCCTGAGTCTTTAAACTGATACCCTTGCTCTTTGCAGACATCCTAGCTCTTTAGCACTCTGGGGACAGCAGATTTTCCTCAATGCAACATGTCTTC